TTTTCTCTCTCCCTCTCCTCCACTTGGTCACAGATTTTCACTTGTATTCTTTTCTTCTGGCTTCATGAAGCTTGCCCTTTTTTCTGCCCAGTAAGCCAGTTTCAACAGAAGAAAGGACATGGAAGTGTGGGCACCCAACTTGTCATAGCTGATGGCATTCTTCTGGGAAGTGTGAGATGTTAATTTGAATTCCATTAGATAAATTATAATCTAGAATCCAGCTCTCTAAGGCCAGGTACAGGCATTACGCTTTTTCTGGTATAAGTGGTCAGTACAAGGTCTACCCCTGTAACAGAACAGAAGTTCAGCACACAAATCCAGTCTATACCTGTAACAGAACAGAAGTTTGCCACATATAGAAGGGTTGAAAAATGGCAGAACCTGGTCTAATGTTTGCCCTTCTCTTCCCCAATTAAAGGGTGAATGTGTGCTTTGTTTGCTACCAATCTGAACTATGCCACTTAAAAAAAGCTGCATAACTTAGATCAATTTCACTTTGGGCGTTTTGAATATCTGTACTTAGCCTAATTTTCTGAAAAAGTGATCTTACCACTAAATTGTTTGGCAAAAGATGGGCCCTATTCCCACCCCATTTCTTAGTGAGCTGCAGGTGTGTTTTTAGCCTCAAACAGTGGCTGGCATGCTCTGCCCATGCGTATGTTCTGGGTAGATGTTAGGTGTCTCCTTCATCCATTTGGATTGCAACAGAGGTGAGAGTTAGGCACTCAGGTGGCTGGTCTGAATTGCTTCTGATCATGTGCAGTCGCTCGGGTCTAGGTGACTTGGAAACTTTTCAGACCAAAATGGAGGCTTCTAAAGAATGTAGGTGCCTGTGTGTGGGCAATTTAGTGCAGTCAAGTCAGATCATTCTTTGGGAGTTAGGTGCCTAAATTTCACCTAAGTCTTTTTTAGGTGCACAGAAGGTTATTTTTTCTCTTATGTACTCTGTTATAAATATTGAGTAACTCTCTCGTCTTCAGTAGAGTAATCTTGAATTTATATCGGAGCAACACAGAAAATTTACAGCAGACTCTATAAGGCATCATATTCAGAAAAATATTTCTCCATGAAACATTCTCAATTTTCATCTGTTCTCAGATCCTTGCAGCTTGAATTATTATCTCTTGCAAATCTATATTTCAAGAATCCCAGTCAAGGTTTTCAGATTTGCAGGGCAGAATTTTGGTAAAGCTTGATTCCAATAAGTTTATATAGTTTGATCACATATTGAAACTCTATGAACTTTCCCAATTTTTTAAAATAGTTTCTTTCCTTGCATTCTAATAAACTCTCACTTCAGATTAAGATACAAAAAAGTCTCAGGTCTGAATATCATTTGACCCTATCAGTTTTAAATTTTTATTCCAACTGGGATTTTTTTATACCTCTCTCTTCTTATATGACCTATTGCACCTTGAGCAGTTTCTTTCAGTACCACTAGCAATGACAGATGATAGGATGGCTAGGTGAATAGCACTTGGATAATCACTACCAATTAGCATGGATCTGTCCATCTGCAAACTGAAATATGTGGAGGACTTGTGTCAGAATGTAGACCCATTGACTTCAGAGGGGTTCTATAGTGGCCCCAGGATTTACCTGGAGGTATCATTGTGCAAGACCAAATCTTTAACTTAAAAAAATTAGCCAGGGATAAATGGGTTTTTGGTGCCTAACTTTACCCATTTTAAAAAGGTCTGGTTTTCAGAAGTGTTGGACATCCAAAATTGCAAGACAATATTTGCCCCAATATTTATCTCACTTTATATATATATATATATATATATATCCCTCATCTTCATATATTAGGGTATTTATCTTCCTAGGACCTCTGCAAAATAGGAAAGATGTGGAACTTATGCACAGATAGGTCCAATCTACCTTGAACTACACATAGTGGAAAATTTTCCACTAACTTTAATGGAAGTTGGATTGGCCATGTCTGCACTGCAGAGGTAGTGTGCCCTAGGCAGACATGTACCCACCCACTTGGTCCTGCATGCATGCTCCAAACCTGAAAAAATACTGGTGAAGCTGCTCTAGGGTGTTCTCTGTGGTCATTCTAGAGACCACTGTTTTCAATCTGCTTAAGAGTAGGCATCTTCACTATTACATTTCTTGGTTTGCACAGTGTGTGGGAGGATGAGGCCTACTCAGTAACATCCTTGCTGAGACATATTGTTGTCACAGTACAGGAGGCATGCTGCCAGGACCAGCTTTTCAAAGGCAGTTAGGACTTCAATAAAAACTAGGCAGGGACATAGTGCAATTGATTTGAATTGGAATCTGATGCCAATAAAAGCTTATTTTAAAAATTCTCCTAGGCATCATTAGACATCTAAACAACTTTGGATAATCTGACTTTAAAGAACTTCGCCAATGTGATATAGGGAGGCTGTAGCAGACCCTAGAGTTGAACCTATTTTTCCTGAGTAAGTCCCTGACCCATGCACTAACAATAAACACATCCTTCTTCCTACTCCCACATATCGATTTGCAAAACTAACTCAACAAGCTAAATTAAAATGGTTTGATCACTCTTTAAATTAAGTGTCTCAAATAAAAGATTTTAATTAAGATTGTATAAGACAATTACATTAATAATTACATACCAATTAATTTTAAAAAACTCTTTCTGAAGGATTATTAATTATATGATAGAAACATCTCAATTACAAACCTCTTAAATGTCAAAATATGAATTTGATCATCAATTTGGTATATATTTAGCATCCAGTTACTCACTTTTAAACATGTGTGCAATGGCTTGGTAAGGACTGTATTCTCTGCCTTCTTTTTTTGGAGTCTAGGCTTCCCTGCAGATTGACCTGTCCAGATTAAATGACAATTTATGCCAGAATCCTAATGTTCCTTTCCACAAACTGTGGAATTATAACCTCCTTAGGAACAATCACACTAGATAAAATCAGAAAGTCAAACTCTGTTTTTAGTTACTCTACTGCATTACTAGAGCAATCCATATAAAGGATCTAAAGTAATAACAAAGAGCAGAGGAGAGCACAGGTGGCTTTGAGTATGCAGTGTAGGATGCCTAAATCAGCATTCTGCTATAGAGAAGAGAAGTAATTAAAGTCCTACTGATAAAAATGATGAAACATCACATATTCAAAACCAAGAACATGGTACACCTGCAACAATGAATTCTGGCTGGATTAAGTTTCTGTAGTAAATAGCAACAAGTCACTGACTTCAAACAAATTTCTCTGTTAGGCTTCATCTACACTAGAAAGTTCTGCTGGAGTGGTTAAAAATCACATGCCTGCCTGACAAACCTATGCTGGCAAGACACTGATAGAGATCCAGCTGTGCTAACAGAAGAACACTTTTGTTGGGCTTTATTGTGTCATTCACAGAGATGATGTAGTTATGTTAGCAAAAACACTTCTTTTTTGCCAGCAGACACTGCGTCTCTCGCAGGGGGCTCTTCTGATACATCCATACATTCGAATTGTTCTGGGAAGGCAAGATTTTCATTTACGGTATAGTACTGTTCTCTATACTGTTCTCAGCCATACTTTGACTCCATTAAGTTTCACAGCAATGAAAAGGAACCTTAACTTAAAATAGAACTGGGTCTTTCTATTTTATTAAAACAAATGTTAACTATGCCTAATATCACAAAATGTGGCCTGTGGTGAATAAAAGGCTCTAATCCACTCAAGCCTAAAACCAATGTTGTTAATCATGAAGGCAGTTCAAGCAGATTATGAAGTGATGCTGAGGCCTGAGAGCAAAAGAATATAACACTGTATTCACTTTGAGGGCCATAAACTCTTCTGATACACACCATGATTTAGTCCATCAGAGAAAAAAAAATTCACAAGAAATGATATTACAAGAAATCTTCAAGATTATTCCTCCCATGTACCGCATAGTTGCACATTTGTATGATATCTACACATCTACATATATGTGCATGTGATGTGTACATAGATATAATATATTACCTGTTTAGAGTATCTCTCTGAAGATTTTGGTGGGTGACAATTATTAGGTTCCATCTTCAAGATGTTCCCTAAGACATTTGAAACTTTTGATGCTATACAAGTACTGGCACCAAAATACTGTCTATATGTCGAGTTGTAGGTATGTGACCAACTGTATAGGTTTTATGAGGAGATTGTTGAAATGCTGAAATATACTACCTCTCTATATTAAGTATGTCTACAGTACCTACAAATTAAACGATTTGCAAAGAAAAGTACTATGAAGATATTTACATATATTTCATTAGTGATACTTACAGTGAAAAATGACACTGATACTAAAAGTGCAATGACCCTCCGAACAACTCTAAGTCCTTCACTTTAAATGAAGTGGGGCGGGGGGAGTTTCCTTTATATAAAGGAATAGTTATTTTCATATATATATATATTTATTCTGGAAAAAACTAGCACTTTAATGAACATTTAAAATATTCATTGAATTATGTCAAGATCAAACTTTTTTTAAAATGTTGGGCTTTGAATCTTAAAACTGAAAAATAGCATTTTAAAATTTAAATTTGCCATTAAAGGTGGGCAGAAAAAATGTGATGTTTTGGCATACAATTATTCTTACAAGAAAAGAAAAGCAGAGAGAAAAAAAAGAAAAGAAAAACACAATTTCTTTGAACTGTCATCACCAGACGTGTTCCAGGAAGTCATTTTCACTTTTGTTTTAAAAGAATTAGGAGTCAGCATGTTGCTATTGCTTCTTGACATAAAGTTAATGTCCTTTATGTCCAGATTACCACTCAGTTCTGTAATACCCTCCCAGTAGAGTCTTTACCATTATAAATGATTAAAGTTTCAATAGGCACTTTAGTGGAATTTAGAAAACTCTACCACTCTTCCACCATGATGCCAGAAAGCTATCTTCTTTCTAAGTTGTCATGTCAGTAAATTGTAGCTAATAGGCCTGAGTTTGTCTCAGTGTGATTCCAAAGTAACAAAACAACAACAACAACAACAAAAGTATATATTACAGGATGTATCCTCTCTTTGCAGAGCAAACCAAAACTGACAGTATGATATAGTAACTTGCTGAAAACAGTTGCTGTCTTTTATAATCATACATTTTTTGTTCTATAAAGCTTGGGTTTTGTTTTTAATTTCTGGTTCATTTGCTTTTCTTTTACTTTTGTTTTGTTTTGTGTTTTTCCCCCTAAGTGACTTTATCAGGATTATAACTTTCTTCTTCTCCAAACATCTCTGCCAAGACTTTAAACCGTGGTCCCCAGTCACCCAAGTAGTCATAATCCTGGTCTGCCTCTGTCGTAAGTGAATCTATAGAACTGAGAGACTCTGCTACAGATCCATTTCCTTCATAGGCATAGGTTGCCAGTGAGTCATAAGGGGGTGCAGTGGGATCTACATCATTTTCCTGCAGCCTTTGATTTATGAAATCTCTTATGTCTCTGTTATCTTCCACTGGTGGTCTTTGACGTGGGAAACAGAGAGTATCTGGTTTTATATCCCTGCGTATTTTATTATCTTCAATCACTTTTGGATTCCTCAATGCACCAATGTCAAAAGCCTGGGTGTCCTCTTCTCCACCTCCTTCATCATCATAATGGATGACATTGTCTCTGATGTCTTCTTTAGAGGTCATCAGGGTGTCTTTTTTCTTTTGCCTTCTCAATGCTACATATAGCACAACAATGACTAGAACAAGAATAAGAGTGTAAGTCAAGACAAGTATGGAAATAGCTTGGTTACCTGCTAACAGGACAATCTATCTTTTGGTGACAGTTAAGAACAATCAAAAGGACTTTTTCTTTAGGAGGTTTACTCTATTTTTTATAAAGCAAGAAGGCTCTAACCAGTATGAGGATATTTGTTGTTTGATGTATGTACCTAGCTCTCTTTACTACTAGCTATACTGAGAAGCTGATAAGCCACCATAGACTGACTTCATGAGAAAATGGAGCTGTGTAAGACTTCAGTGCTTTTCTTTGTTTCCTCTATTTTTCACTTTTGGATTTCCTTTATTTCCACCCTGTGTGGGAACTGAGGATTTGTAGAGGTTTCAGGCTCCCTGGGTCTGGAAAATGGGGATAACTGGGGTTCTCAGGGTCTAGACTCTCAACTCCATAGCCAATAGCCTGGGAGACCTCAGGACCTCAATACTGAAATCTACTGTAAGGTGTCTAGAAGACCTGAGAACTTCATCTAGACATAGGTCTCTTGGACCTCCTCACATCCTTCCACTTCACCAGGAGCCTCAAAGCTCCACTAAAGGTGGCACTCTCAGGACAAACTGGATTTTCATTCTATGGCAAGAGGTTTTTTTGGAGCACAGCAAGGCATGGCAGCACTGTCTCCCACAGTGCATTCACCTCTTATGAGGGCAGGAGGAGGGGGAGGGGGAGGGGAAGGGAAGGGGAGAGGAGAGGAGAGGAGGGATGCACCAGCTGGCCCCGTGCAGCACATCACAGTGCTTCCCCGCCCCCACACATCTAAATGGTGGGGTGGGCATGTTTTGTGCCCACCTCCACTGGCATGCAATTGGCTAGTCAGCAGCCCATGGATAAGTCCCTGGCCAGGCTCGGTCATGGGACGGTCCAGGTCTGGTGGCAGCAGGAGCCACCCACCTGCACTCCTGGGTGAGCCACCGGACTTGGACTGTCCCATGACCTGGCCCGTCCAGGACTTCTGTTCCCTGCTGCCCTGCTTCCCTCTCCATGACCCAGTGTGGCAGGAAGCAAAGAAGCCATGTGGGGATCTCTTCACCCACTGCTGCTCACCCTGTGTTGCCCTGGCACCATGCCTCCTGTATGTTGGGCTGCACTGAAGGCAGCAGCACAGGGCTGTGCCCCTCAAACCAGTAGCAGGCACAGGAGGTGTGTCTCCATGGCAGCATGGGGCAAGCAGCAGCAGGCAAGGAGATCCCTGCACGGCTTCTCTGCTCCCTGCCATACCAGGTCATGGGGGAGGGAAGCAGAGCAGCAGGGAACAGTGGTGAGCAGGCCTGCTGTTCCCTGCCATCTTGGGTAGGGCAGCTCTATGCCACTGCATGCACCTCCAGCAGGGCTGGGGGCCACCTCTGGCTGAGGGAGCAAGGGCTGGGGCAGGGGAATGAGAGGCACAAGCAGGGCCAGGGGGTTGGTGGGCTGATGCGTGGCTATGGAAAACCATGGTTACTCAAAATTGTGTACTGTGCTAGCCAAAACAGTATACAGAATATTAACCGTGGATAGTCAAAACCATGGTTGGCAAAATCATGGTTGGCGAAGGAAACCTGTATTGCATTTCATTTATGAAAAATCATGCTAAAACATTAATTTCTATTCCACAGGAATTTAAAATTTTCTAATTTTCATTCTGATTTGGAACAACCCCCTTTCCAAATGTCAAATGTTACCTACTTACTGGGCATGTCTACACATGTATTTATGCTGCCTTAAATTTACTGCACACTAAATTACTGTGCAGTTATTAACTGCAATCAAATGCTCAAAGGGATGGTGACTGCTTGGCATAAATAAATACAGTCAGCAAGCTGTGGGCCAGTCACTCAGCTCCTGCTAGCCCTTCTGCCAGCCATTGCTACCTGTGGCGGCCCCCTCCATACCACCTGCCAGCCTGGGGCTGCTCCATCTGGCACTAATTACTGTAGTCCCAGGTGCACATGTACACACTGTGCCCGGGACTAGTTAACTCCAGTGCAAACTGCTCCAGGTTTCATTGTGTTGCCTTACTAGCACATGGAGATACACCCAGTATGTAGATATGTTTTTAAATGGTTGACCCAGTGGCTGCACTAAACTCTACATGTTTAGGTATTTGATATCAATCAGTAGATCTGCATAGAGTATGGAAATGGTCTGAAAATTATGCATTTGATACTCAGGAGTACTGTTTTAGGCATAGGCCAGAATCTACAAGAATCGTTCTGTGCAACTTACTCCACAGTGTTCTCACATAAATTGTAAAAACACTTGATTACTGTCCAACACTGCAATATTTTGGGCAGAGTTGTACTAGCACGGACTCCTTATGGAAACAGTTTAGGTCGAACAATACATAAAGGGAAGCTGGACCAAAACAGCAATATCCTGCTACATAATCAGTTTCTAGGTAAATGTTACTGTTGTTTAACTATAAAATAGCTGTCAGCCACAGTATACATTATAATGACATATTCCTATCTTATTTCATAAGTCTTTCTTTTTAATCCCTCTGAAATTGGTATAGATCATTATAAAAAGGTTCCTACCAGGTGGCTGATGATGATGTCAGGTGGACTGTCTTGGCTTAAATCATTTTAAGTACATGGAGATCAGTTCTTACATGAAAGGTATTTAAGCAAAACTGTTTCAGAGCAAAATTTACATTTCAAACTCCACTGTAAGCTATTTTCCCCTACTCCATAAGAAATATTTGGAATTTAGCAGATTGGGTGCTCAGATTCAAATTAATGGTCAGTGTTTTGGAATATTTTTTCTATAAAAGCTCCCTTTGTTGACAGTCATACATTTTCAATGGTCTTTGTTAAACAGTAAATGAAACTGGTAGTGACACAAATTAATTCACAAGTAGAATCAAAGACTTGTACTTTATGTTACATCATGGAAACTAACCTAGGAGTATAACAATACATAGCAAGATTGCAATCAAAGCCCCAGTGCTGAGGCCTACTGGTAGGAAGATTGCTTCAACATTGCAGGATAGAATGGTACCATCAGAATCACATCTGCAAACCCGGATAGTCATTGTGTTTGTGCTGCTCTGTACAGGATAGCTACTGTCTTCTATCACAACTGGGAGGAAATACAACTCCTGCTGCCTACGGCTGTAACCACTTCTCCTGGTTTCAATTCCAGCTGTGTTGTCTGCAAAACACAACACAGTCATAACAAGATTGTTACTATGTGCTTCACTTCACATTTTAGTTTTTATCATATTAAACAGTAGCTAACTGTTGTGGTTTCCAAAATCAATGGAGTATATACTGTCCGTAATTCCCTTGTTTTATCATTACCGGAGCTGTCAAATTCAAATCAGATGCATCCAATACTTTTTTAATGGCTCCAGGTAATCTTTCTTGTTCTTGTATATTAATCCTGCACAGCTTGACAGTTGACATCTCAAAGGAGAAATGAAGCAGAAGAAAAGGTTTTTGTTTCTCTCAGGTATTCCTTTAGCAAGGGATTTCTCTTT